AAGTATTTCAAGCACTCTGCCTTGACAAGCTATATCCAGGAATCGCGTGGTTTAGTGGAGAGAAAAATAAGGAGCCAATTCGCGGTTATTTACTTACTTTCGTTATTGCCGTCGCTTTTATTCTGATAGGTGAGTGGTAATTCTATATATATATATATATATATATATTTCAATTTTTTTTTTAGGTGAATTAAATGCAATTGCGCCGTTGATTTCGAATTTTTTCTTGGCTGCCTACACTCTCATCAATTTCAGCACATTCCATGCTTCCTTGGCTAAACCGATCGGATGGCGACCAACTTTCAAGGTACTGTAGCGTAAAAATATATCTATGGTGTTATTATATTTTCATTCTATCTAATATTATTCTATTTTTTTTTTAGTATTATAATATGTGGCTTAGTCTCGCTGGTGCTATCCTTTGCGTTTCTGTGATGTTTCTGATCTCATGGTGGACGGCTTTAATAACGTTATGCGTAGTCTTAGCGTTATATTTAGTAGTCTCGTATAGAAAACCTGGTAATTTACGCAACAAAAATTTATCTTTGTTTAATGCTGCTTTTTTCAATACATTGCGCTCTTCATGAAAATATATTACAGATGTAAATTGGGGCTCGACTACACAAGCCCAGACCTACAAAAACGCGTTAACTGCGGTGCAGCAATTGGATCGGGTGGAGGAGCACGTGAAAAATTACAGACCGCAACTCTTGGTTCTTACTGGCGCGCCCAATGCGAGATCATCTCTTGTCGATTTCGCTCATCATATTACTAAACATCAGAGTTTATTTATTTGTGGCCATATTATTGAGGTATGGCTTGTTTTTATTTTAGCCGATTTGATATACCTATTCGATAATATATCTTATATTCATGTCCTTCAGACACCCATATCATACAAAACGCGCAACAGCATGGTGCAGAATTGTTCTTCCTGGCTCAGGGCAAACAAGATTAAGGCATTTTATTCACTGGTGGATAGTTCGAATTTTCAAGATGGAGCTACTTCGCTCCTACAAGCCGCTGGACTTGGGAAAATGAGGCCTAATATCTTGCTGATGGGTTACAAGCAAGATTGGGCTACTTGTCCCCGGGAAAATCTGAATATGTATTTCAACGTCATGCAGTAAGTTCTTGTGTGTATCACACTTCAGTTAACTTAAAATAAACAGAACTAACTTTTTCTGTATCTCAGCAAAGCTCTAGATATGCATATAGCAGTGGTGCTTCTCCGACTTCAAGAAGGTTTGGATAGTAGTACGATCGGAGATGTCGAAGATTCAAAGAGACTCGCACCTACTTCGATACCTGGCAATCAGAGTTTCTCGCAGCTTAGTCAAGGTTTTTGACAAAAACTAAATTTTCTTATTTTCTAACATATATCTAATATTTCTGATTAGTATTAGGTGTTGCATACATTACTGTTCAAAAGTTAGAATATCTCTAAATTTTGAAAAGAAAAATCGACTTTATTAAAAATACGAAAAATTTATGTAATTTCAATCATAAATTTTTGTCCGAGAGTATACATTCAAGAAAAAAATTGATGTCAATAAAATAATTATATCTGTAAAGAAGTGTTTTTATATAAAAGCTATAGAATACTTCATAACGTGTATGTCATTAGTGTAGTAATATATCTTTTTCTGAAGAACGATGCTTGATAAATTATAATTATTGCAGCTAGTAGCACGTCTGACATATCAATCCCCGGCAGTCCCGCACCGAGACGTTCGAAAACAATTAACGAGTATCCTAATCCATCCTCCGAGGAGCAACGTGAAAATCGATCAAATATAGTGCCAATCACAAATATACTTAATGTAGTAACGAAATTTCAACGGAAGCATAAGAAGGGTACTATCGATGTATGGTGGTTGTATGATGACGGTGGTTTAACGCTTCTGTTACCTTACATTATTAGCACGAGACGTAATTGGTCTAACAGCAGATTGAGAGTGTTCGCACTTTCTAATAAGAACTCTGAACTGGAATATGAACAAAGGAAGCAAGTATTAATTTTTGATGATGAATTTCTTCTAGAAATAATTACATAAAATAATTTTTTCTTGATGATATTAATATTATTAATTTTTTTCATAGTATGGCGAGTCTTTTATCAAAATTCCGGATAGACTATTCTGCCCTAAAAGTTATACCGGATATCTCGAAGTCGGCACAAGCTGGTACAAAGACATTCTTTGATTCGTTAATAGCCGACTTCCAGGAATTAGCCGATTCGAAAAATTCGAACGACGATGACGACGATGATATGAGTAATTTCAAGTTTATTCTATAAATAGTATAAAATAAAACTATAAAACATAAAATAAAACTAACAAGCTATTAATGTCCTATCAATATATATGTAACAATTCGATTGTTTTCTTTAGATATTATTAAAGATTCAGAACTTATGGCGATGAAAGAAAAAACTAATAGACATCTCCGTTTACGTGAATTGTTGCTTGAAAATTCCATGGAAGCCAATTTAGTCGTTATGTAAGTAGTATTTGTTATGAATTTTTATATTGATAAGGCAACACAACCAAATGTCTTCCACTTTTAACAAGTTTCGAATATGTTAGAATGTAGATAAAAGTGAGAAACATGTATTTTTTTAATAAGAGTAATGTAATTTGAATCATATTGTGTTCTGTCTATATCGAGATGAAGAGATATAGAGATATTGATATGATTCGATTCTTTCTAAAGCCTTGTATCCACGATATCAGAAATCATTCTGAGATTTCGGAGAAAGAATTAACGAATTATATTTGAATAATTTCGGCCTTTTGACCAATAGTTAATTTTCTTCTTCGTCCAAGATTTTAACATCGTGAACACAAGGAGCATGGATGTTAGAATCAAAGAATGCGCAGTCTATTACGTTTAACATATTCAAAGCTTATTAAAATCGAAGGATATTTGATTGTGTTTCCTTGTAATCTTTGATTGTTTTTTTTCATTAATGTATTGTTTGATTTATAGGACATTACCGATGCCTCGGAAAGGTGCTGTATCAGCGCCTCTTTACATGGCGTGGCTAGAAACACTTACACGTGACATGCCGCCGTTTTTATTGGTCCGAGGCAATCATACGTCGGTTTTAACGTTTTATTCATAATATTAATGTGAAACCGATTGATAAGATGTTGTATTTACAAAGCTATAGAATGTCACATAGCAAGTGACGATATCGCAGTATTACAAGTGAAAAGAAAGACTTATAATCATCTATATACGCAGAAAAAATTGATTCGACCATGGCAGAATGAAACATCCAGTGACATACAAGTAATAGACAAGCTAATGATAATGAGCCTTTATTATTGTATTATGTATGGGAAAACATACGTTTGTGAATGAACCATTATCGAAGAATGTGCCTAAATATTCTTTTGAAAATGTTCAGTTTTATAATATGAGACTATATTTTTTTTAATGATTGGAATATATAATTTCTAGATTCCGAAAAATTTTGACAGTCTCTTAAAATATGAAAAAATCAATCACATTTTATAAATGTCTAAAGTGATTATAATCTGTAGTATTATTTTAATGTTTTTTATGCAAACTTTTTGTGCCTTATCTTAAATAACACTGTTTTATATAAGAATTCAAAGAATTTCTGCAACATTTATATCGGTGACTTATAAAATTGCACCTTATATATCTAATAATAAAAAGATTGATTGTCTTTTTCTATAAACTTTTATATTTCTATACATATATGCGAACTTATAAACTCTTGACAATCTTTGAATACAAAACAAAATTGTAATAAATTCTGTAAATACTGCATATTTTGCTTTTAAAAGATCTGCTTATTTTTGTTTGTTTTATAATATTGACAGTGTTTATAAAAGCAAAGTTCCATCATGAAAAACAGTGTAAAAAATAAATGTTAATGTTTATAAAATAGAGCAAACGCATAAAAAAGTCGTAAAAGCATTATAGACATATGCTAGGATTACCTAAACATTACGGTAGTACAAAATGCTAAATTGTCACAGCGACACTTATAGTGTCAAAGTAATTCTATTTCACATCTTTTACCACTGCGATATTAATCGCGATGTTTCAAATATATAGTATAATGTCTCATATAAGTTTCATACAGAAATTTTATATCGATTTCTGTTTAAACTTTTAATTACGTAACTTCGTTATAATGTAACAACTATATTATATCAGTGCTTTTATATTATCGATAACTTTGCGGTACAGTATAGATGATAGAGAGATATTTATTTGAATGCTTCGATGTGAACACGTTTCAGACTAGTTGCGAATGCGTTGCAGGAGTCAGAATACTGATAATGCACGATCACTTTCTTCCTGATTACATAAGCCTTGCAGATTACAAATAATTTATTGTTGCGTATGTATGTTGGTGCATTCTTAATTATAATTTGAATTACAAATTAATTTTGATTCTTTATATCATAATAAAAATCAATATTCCAACCCCTCTACATATATAGTGTATATATAAAATCGGATTTGTGCCATATTGTGTTACGTGCCGTATTTATAAAGATTAATCCCGTTGAACACTACAAGATGTAAATGGCGTAGCTTTACTCTATAATATATTTTTTGGGATATCGTAGGAAAAAATGCATAAAGTAAGCAATAAATAAAACAAAAAAATACTTATAAATACTTAGTAAAAAATTTATAGCTGCAGTTATAAATAAAGTCATATGTAAAGTCATAAAAATAAAGTCATAAAAAATGAAAAATTTTTTGAACGAAAAATTAAATAAATGACAAGAATAGAGATTATCTCTGGCAAAAAGCATAAATAATTAATACCAAATTTAAATATATTATTTTTCTACTCTAAATATATAAAAATTGTATATTATATATGTGTGTGTTTATATATATATATATATTAATCTCTTCAAATACTAAATTCTTCTCTTGCAAGATATAAAATGACTTTTAAAAGTAACTTTTAAAAAATTAATTTAAAAAATACTATCAAAATGTCGGAATGACAAATTATCATCGTCATGAATTGCATCGTATTTTTCCACAGATTCGATAGAAAAAAATTCGATTTTATGTTTCGCGGATAACACTAGTGGCATAGATTACATCGCAAGATAGATCTTATTCTCCTTTCGCGTTTAAATGCTACGAATATGCCGCGGTCTGCGCACCAACAAGCAACAGGAGGACAAACCGGAGCTAACTTTCGCCAATTCGGATAAACGCAATGATCTAGTTGGGAACTCCACCTTCTCAGCAAACACCTTACTTGATTGTGGAATTTCGTCTTCCGACCGATGAATGAGAGTGCCGTTCACGTAGAGCACGTTCGCGGCTACGTCCTCGGGTACAGTCAATGTTTGGTAACTGTATGTTGCTTCTCGCTCGATTCTCTAGATTGTAAATCAGAAAAATAAAAATCAAAACTTTTCTATAATTAAATAATTAATTTAAAAAAAGACTTAATTCCATAAAAACAGTAGCAATATTCGTCTGTCACATAGCAAGTCCGAATGAAAGCAAATTTATTACAAATGATGCAATTTTGGAATATCTTTCTCAAAGTGACTTTTATTTATTTTAAATTAAGACCTTGAGAACTTCCTGAGATTCTTTTCCAGCCCCTACGCATATAACATCTGGTCCGGCCATTGTAACCAGCGATTTTAAACGTTTAGATTCAGCCACCTAAGCAGAGAAATATTGAGTTACTATCTCAAAAATTATAGGTGAAAATAAACGAGTATTGCAATGCACTATAATCAACATGTAATGATTTTATCATTACATTCCGTATATCATATTCTTAATTCATTATCATATCACTTGAATAAATTAGAATAAACTAGAAAATCATTATTGAATTAAATTTTATCAACGAAAATTACAAACTCTTTTATTCAATATAATAATTTCTCTTTTTTTCTTTTTAATTCGTATATTTTTATATATTAATTTTTTAAAAAATATTTGATGTGTTTTTAAAACGTTTATATTAAAATATTTATTATAATCTTAACATAATCTTAATGCATTATTATGATGTTCATAATAATTCTTAATGTGCCAGCAAATCGTGCACAGTGTTTTGTATTGTAAACAGTAAAATATAAATATGTTATCTGAAAAGTGCATACACAATGAGCTTATAATATACATAATACATATTTATATAACGATAATTTATGAACAAAATGAGTAATGCCTTTAAACATTTTGCTTAAAATTAAATGCTAAATCATATGCATGCTAAGGTGAGTGAATAAGATTTGTGGTATTGTTCAAGTGCACAGTTCAAGTGCCAAGCTGGAACTTGTGTAACTTATTACAATTTCAAAAAAGCAGCTCGTAAAATTCTCAAATTATTACATACGAAAAAAAGTTTCTCAAAATCGTGCAAGTTTGCGTTTTTTGCCTGTGAAAATATTCATTTTATTTTTTTTCTTTTGTTAAATTTTTCTTTAATGACGTATTAAGAGGGTCAGTTTAGTGCACCCAAACCTGAAGAGGGGCTGAGGTAAGACTCTCCACTATCACCTCTTCGCCACCATCACCCACCTTAAATGAACATTAGAAAAGTAAGGTGAGTGAGCATGATATTCTGTTGAAGTTTGATGCAAATCCATAAGGTATACACACACACACACACACACACACACACACACACACACACGCGCGCGCGCACACCTATTATTATACCTTTTATAAATGTACAATGTGTGCTGTGAATAAATACAAAACTTTCATTGTTACTGACAGACTGAAACATGCATTTATTACATATAGAGGGTTTTATCTTAAATTGGATCTATTTTAAGAATAAAATCAGTACTGAAAAGCAATGAAAAAAGTTGACAGTAAATATATTACATCTCAATATTAAATTAATTTCTGAAGTAGCTTCTAATAAGAATGAAATACTATCATACAATGAAGATACAAGATATAAAATGGTTTCCGAAATAGACACAAAAATTACAAAGTCTCATATATATCTAACAAGATATTACTAATCTTTATAACTAATCTTCTATATTTTGTAAAATAGTTAAGATAAAAATAAGTATAAAGAACATTATAGACAAAACATCGTCCTTTTTAATTGAAACACACATTTAAGATCTAAGATTATTTTTGTGCATAGCACAAAATCATCCATACATCTTTATGACTTTAACATCAAATGTTGAATTTAATGAGACATGCGATATACATTAGTATGTAATGAGAAATTTAAATTATATTTAAAAGGAGATTAATAATTCTTAAAAATGTTAGATGTTATAGATGTGTTAATCTACAAGATCACTGACCTTGATAGGTACACATGGATATTCTGGAAATGCCGCAGCAACTGCTCGTGCTCCGGCTTCATTTGTAAAATGAGACAGTCCAACAAAGAATTCTCTACCTGTGACGAAATATTTTTGCATTAGTAAATGTAAAAATTTATAAAATATTTCTGATATTTACATGTGTTTAAAAGCACAAATATGGAATATCAAAGCAAATATTAAATACGCAAACTAAAATTTACCAGTAAAAAGCACATCTCCACCATCTAAGCGAGCATTTTTGTCGCTTATTTCTATCAATGGTATCTCTAGCTCTTTTTTCAACACAGCTCTGATAGTATCAAGCTGAAAAAACACGAAAAAATAATTTAAAAACGAGCAATGAAGAAACTAAGTTCGAAACTTGATCCAAAGATGTTAAATCATCATTATTATTATCATGAATTCTAACTCATCTATCAATACAAATCAATTTTAATAAGATCTGGATTGTGTATTATACCTCTTTGAGGCGAGACGGTTCACTTGGATGGGCAATCAGGGCAATGCCATTGCAAACGACGGCGATGTCTTCAACGAAGACGCAAAGAGGCGAGTTTTCGTCGGGCGGCATCTCGACGACGTCGATGTCGAGCTCGCGGAGAAGCTGCGCCAGGGCCAGATGCTGCGTCCTGGCTTCGTCCAATGTTACCTCACCCCGTGTACGCAGCGACAACGGGATTCTGCAGAGGATTGCGTGTGTATATCGATGCAGCGGCATGCTCGATGGTTTTGCGTTTCTCTCGCCGAAGAGCAAAAGCACGTAAACCTACGTCGCACGATCAGAGGTTTAACTAGATTTGACGTTTAACGCGAAATGACGGATAACAAGTCAGCCATGATGTAAGAAAACTAAAGCCTTGGACATAATTCACACTGCGTTCAACAGAAAATGCAGTTTTGCAACTATTGCAAAATTCTTTAATATAATTGGTTTATGCATTCAGATCCAGTGAGGAACTAAGAGACAAGACCAATCATTAAAGAATCACTGAACGCATGAACTGATTTATTTTAATTTGCTCAAAGCGGTAAATGAACACCTACGTGAAACGTCAGAAGTCGATTAATCGAGATGAAAAAATTCGAATATCGACTCAAAAATCGCATTCGATTCATCGATAATCAAAGATAATCATATCTTATCCTAACCTCAAAACTCTCAAAAGTTGACGCAAGTTGACGCAACAACTTCGTGGGTGTCTTTTGGTGTCTTTACCAAATATAAAATGAAACATTCATGCGTTTGTTAATTTCATAATGCGATAAGTCATCGAGATGACCCGTGAAGACTATTATTGGCCGTCATTCCAGGTTCCAGCATGATAAAAACATTCCGAATTGTAAATATTTGACGCTGCAGCTCGATGGCGAAGCTTGACACCGGGACGCTGTGAGGATACGCGCTGTTCGTGTATAATATGATATAAGATGTAAGATGGGACCGCATTGCGTGCCGTAATAATGCGCCTGAAATTCGTCAGGGCGCTTCTGATTCTCGCGCTGTTAGGCAACCTCATCGTCTGGCATAAGATATGGCGACTATCTATGGAGCAAAACACCCTGGGTTTGCTAACGCCGAGCGTCATGACAAACGAGCACCCACAGAAACACCAACAGTGTCTGGGCCATTTGGTCACCATTGTCATCAGGCAGTTCGAGAACTTCGAAAATGATGTGGCGTTCATGGTGGAGTCAGTTTTGAATTCCTTCCCAGGGATACCCATCTTGATAGTCTGCGATGAATTGCCTTATCCGCCACTGGAGTTGGACTTTGCCAACGAGAGTATGAAGAACGTCAAACTGATCAGCTTAAAGCCTGAATTCAATAAGTCCTCCGAGGAAAGGAATCCACTCTTCTATATACGTACCAAGTTTGTCCTATTCTTACCTGATGCAACAAGATTGTCGAATAAGCAAGTTATACAGGTAAATATTCTTTGTTGTGATTTGTTGTGATATTTAGAAAATGCTTTTTTACAACAATAATTTGTTATTCTCTTTGATGTATGTCTTGCAGGATACTATCGCGCAAGTATCAAATTTAGGGATTGTTATTGTACCAGTGGGAAAGATAGCCTTACATTGTCTTGAATTAGATTTAAAAGTGAGAGAATGGAGTTTGAAGATAGCACGGGTTATGGGAACAGAATGTGATAGTGTAATGGGTAAACATGTTACTATGCTTGAGGCAAAAATTTTGAGAAGATTGTCAGATCCATTTCTGCTGCCTTTCACGGACGCGTTGTACATTCAGACAACAGCAATTGGTGCAAAGGTAATCCATTTTGTCTAATTTTGTCTAAAATAATTATGTATTACCTTCTTATTTTATTTTTCTTGAATATATTAGGTGTATAACAAGTTCATGGCGTTTTTCCCATTAGATTAAAAAAACGCCACGAACTTTTTCCTACACCTAATAATTTATTGAGTAATAAATTTATTAATTTGTCTCTGTGCAACATATTGTGATTTTGTTATCTAATTGGATGATTTGTATAATTGAATATGAAGACATATCATACAAGAATTTCGTGATTAGTTTGTGAATATTTTATCTTCAATTTTGTGTTCTGGTGACAATGTGTGAGTGTATAAAGGATCTCATATTAATTATATAGCTAATTGGATCTCAGTGAAATGAGTTAGTATTTACATAAGATATAATCAAGATTTAATTTACTATATAATTGCACTCTGCAATAATTATATGTGAAAATTTACTTTGGGAATCCAATTTTTCATATAGTTAATGCAGAATTCTTTGTATTCAAAGTTTTTACTTTTAAATCTTTTAATTTGGTAAGTACTTTTTATTCATTATATATTTCGTTTAAGAATTTTTAATATTTATTTTATTCGTTTTCTCTGTGTTAAGAAAAAAATTCAAATTTATCTTAAAAAAAAAATGTTTAAGTGAATATTTATGTTTTTTTTTAAGTATATATTACATTATATTTCGTAATATACATTGTATATTTGTTGTTAGGTACATATATTGAAAAATTATCAGTTCAACGAAGGAAAGCCATTGTACAGAAACCAACAAGCACAATTCAAAGTACAGCAGCTGTATCGTACACATGAGCGATTGATGTTTGAGAAATTGGGGATAAAGAAAGTTACAAGGGCTTCCGGCTCCGTGGAGTGGTACGGTTGCTCGCGGGAAACTCCGAGATGTTTTGGTTCAGTAATAAACGGTGTGCCGTCGTATCTCTATCAACATCGATACACACCGCCTTGTTGTTTGGCCGGATTGAGAAAAGTCACCTGTCACGTTATCGACAAATTGGAGGAAGTTGGCATACGATTCTGGTTGGAGGGCCAATCGTTGCTGGGAGCGATGAGGCATGGCGATATTCTACCATGGGATCACGAGGTACAAATTGGATTGAATCGAGACGATTTGGCGAGATCGCCGTGGTTGGTCAGAGCTAAGAGTAAACCGGTCGTTGATAATGACGGCTTCATTTGGGAGAAAGCGACGGAGGGCGAGTTCTTCAAGGTACAATACTCCAAGGTGAATCGTTTGCACGTGAATCTGCTGCCGTTCTACACGCGCAACGGATCCATGACGAAGGACGCGTGGTTCCTGAAGAATCGGGATTTCCCAGAGCACTTTCTTCATCCAATGTCTAGTATCGAATTCGCCGGTAGACAAGTGCCATGTCCAAATAATATTAGAGACTTCCTAGAGCTTAAATACTTTAAGGGGGTGATAGAGAATCCAGAATTACCGGGTAAATTTGTCTTTGATTAATCCATTTTAGATTAATTGTATAAGATTATTCGTGGTAGCATACGACGTATTATTGCTTGATTTTGCAGAAATCGATACTTTAAGAATCAAGCCACGTTTATCGCTATTGAATTGATAACTATATTGAACATTATGTATTTAATGACGATTATCTATGCATGAAAACGTTAATATCTAAATAAAAATTACAATTTGATAATGTCTTTCGTCTACAGTGAAGACTTGTAAACATTTCTATTGCCTTATTTGGACTCTACTTTAGTAAGAAATGATGATAAATAATTATTGTTATCTTTGAACAACTCAGAATAAAGTAAAAGTCATAAACTTTCTTCTTGCATGACCTGTTAATATATTGTGCCAAATAAATTCAGTATTTTTAACTAGATTTGTAGATATAAATATTGACACATTTTTCAATATATTTTCATTGTATTAACTTTTTCTAAATTTTTTGTTATTTACTAAAGGATATTATAATATTGAGATGTATTATATTATAAAGATTTAAATATTTAATATTAAAAATATATATTAAAAAACACAGATCTGATCTCATAACAATATTTTTTAAATATTTTATTTATTAAAGAGGCATTTAATAATCTTGGACTATAAAACGTGAAAAATATTTCATAAATATTTATACATATAGTAGGAATTTGATTGTTCAAGTTCTGTGATTATAATTTTTTAACAGAATGAGAGAAAGCATTTAAAAATAAATACGTTAATTGCATTTATTACGTTTAAATAATATTTTATCTGAATCATTTTAATTCAAGTCATTTTATTTAGCTTCTCTCTCTCTCTCTCTCTCTCTCTCTGTCTGTTTCTCTCTCTCTCTCTCTCTCTGTTTCTCTCTCTCTCTCTCTCTCTCTCTCTCTCTCTCTCTCTCTCGTTATATTAAGTAATGAAGTTGAATTATTCTATTTGTTACAATGATCTTTTTTCGGCAATAAGAATCAGGTACATAAACTACTTTATAGAACTAGTTGATCTCTCTATTGTATAATTATAGTGCCAATTTATTTGTAAAAATATAGATATGTATATGTATCCGTCTGTTATAGCAAATATTAATAAAGCACTGTTGTTCATAAAAGGTTGATCCGTGTTCTTATTCATTTGGTTTTAAGTAACTGTTCTTATGTCTTTAGGTGGAATCAGTACCGGTGGCTCTCGCACAAAACTGAGCAACTTTTCTAATTTCATAGATTCTAATTCCGTATGTGACAAATGTAGTTGCTTCTTCGTTGGTTTTACCTTTATCCGTAAATTTGGAGATAGTTTCAATGTATTCACAGTACCTCTACGAAATTAAATATTGAGTGAACGAATTACAAATTATATATGAAATAGAATTTTAAGACTACAAGTTTTTTTAAATTAAATAGATAATACTCACTTATCATCGCCAACTATTATAAACGGCAAAGCGTTATTAAAAGCTAATCGGGTCAGTTTGTTTTTTCGTTTATTGACGATTTGTTGACTGCAGATTGGTCTGTATTTGTTAACATTCAAATCAAACACTGTAACTTTGCCATCGTTTGATACGCAAGCCAATACCGTAGAGCTGTACGGTGCCCACTGAACGTCTCCAATTGGAACACCCAGATCGAACATGAACAAAGGTTCTCTGCGTACAAAATATTAATATAATAAAATTTGTATAATTATGAAGATATAACTTACGGTCTTTCGTCTTCCCAGATTTTGATTCGCCAGTCGCCTGAACAGCTGGCGAAAATGCTGGAATTGTACTTGTTGAATACTATTCGATATACCGGCATGGTGTGTGCTTCGTGATACGTTCTCATGTAAATACTGCTGTATGCAGTATTGCATTTGTACATTGTACCCTCCTCTGTGCCCACCAGGAAAACATTCTGATCGGTGGGATGAAATGCAATGCACGTTCCGCATCCTAGATTTAAATGGTTTGCATAATTATTATGAAACATAATAATATTATATTTGGTTTCCTTTTATCATTACCTTTCAGCGTAATCATCGTGCCATCTGGTCCAGGTATAGGTGGTTGGTCCAGGAATAACGTTATAATAGTAGTGAGACCGAGATCGTTCTGGTTTAATACCCAGTGATTTATTTTACCGTCGATACTAACACTAAAGAACGCCAGATTTCCCTCTTCTGTATCAGGTGCCCAACGAATCTATAATCAATACATATTTTTAAAATTTTGTTGAAAGTTTTTCTCATGAAATTCTCAGTTTTGTCGTAAAGTATTAAAGTTAAAATATTCAACGGACCTCCCATACTAACCCTCCATGCTTTTGCATAACATCGTTGCTTTTATATTGCGGTGTGGATGGTGGTAACATTACGTTATAAACCGCCACTGTTCCGTCCATGGAACCTTAGTTAATAAATTAATGTTAGCATACAGTAATGACATAACAATCACTTTAGAAACTAGATTACAAACTAGATTACTAATAACATTTTATTAAAAGACTTTCATTTTCAAAATTTATACTTCTAAATAAATATCTTCATAATTAAATATTTGGAATGGTATTATTTCACACCAATAACTAAAAGATGAGGATGTTGAGCATTAAAATCCAGGCACATCACAGGAGATTCTGTCGGACAAATCCATTCTGGATACGATGGATTCTTCAAGCTGAATAAGCAGACTGTGCCATTTGTTATTGGACTGTTAAATGATACTAAAATACATACATTATAATTCTTATTTGTAAACTTAAATATTATAAAAATTAAAATATGCGTATTCTACTAACGTGATCCAAAGGCGACTGCAAAGAGATCATAATATCTATTATTAAAGCACATGTCCGTAATATCATGTTTCTTAGTCTTTTCGTACGAAAATTTCCACAGAGGTAATAATGAGCCTTCACCTTCCTTGAATTGATCACTCGGATCATCCCAATATCTATAATCTAACAATAATTAAATGTACACTTGAGACTGAGGTTTCATCGAAGAAAAGATTAAAAATCTACCTTGCGATATATCGTCAAAAATGTTTTGGTTCACCATTCGCTCTAACGTTTTTGCAGCTTGTAACATTCTGTTTGTTATTGCTGAGAATTCCAGTTGGGCTTTTTTCTTTACATCTTCTTTTTTTGGTTGTACCAACGGGGCTTTCTTCTCCTTTTCCTTTTCGCGTTGTTGTTGAGCATAGTCTTCCTATCGACAACATAAAGAAAGTCAGACTTCTATATAATATTTCTCTTTTCTATGTTTATATCTTTTAAATGTTATTCTGCATGATAACATGCTGAGTACATGAGTAAAATATCAAGTGAGCATATATAATATTCTGTCAGAAATAAAATAATGTATTAATAATTAATTGGAAGAGAACTTTTTGTGTTTTTACCTGATATTCGTCAAAGATAGTCCATTGAAAAACATTGACATTGAAAGTCGCAGTAGGCGGAGGTATAGTTTGTGTACTCATATCCTACAAGATTATTTAATTTACTTTTTATACCTATAAGCAAGAGTTTATGTATTAAATATGTTTAATACATAGAAGAGAATATACGTGCCCTCATAGGATTATCATATGTCAACGCTGCTCTCTCACAGAAATTAAATTGATTAGGTATTTTCTTAGGCTTTATCTTTTCTATTTCATCTTCCTCAGGTTCCCCAGGTTCCAGCTCAGCTTCCAACTCATGTTCACGTTCGGCCTCAGTTAGCGCTTCTACCGTTTTATCTATTTCTTCTACTGTTCTTATGGAATATGTAATTTATGTTTTTATTTAAAAGAATATCAAATGTGTGATTTGTTAAATCATATAATGTGTAATTATCCATGTTTTCTATACTTACCTTCTTCCTCTTTTTCGTATTCTGCTTCTTCTTCTGCTTCTTCATCACGCTTTAATTTCTCATCTGTTGTCTCATCCTCAACTGTGAAATTATAATTGTGTAAATAATTATTATAATATAATATTATACATATATAGAATCTATAAGTTTATATATCCTTCTTTTATAATTATTTCATCTAACATATATTTAATTATTGCAATAAATAAAGAGACTTCACCAAGAATTCCTCCTGCCAATTGCACTTTGGCTTCTTCAGAATCTTTGTGTAATATAGTGCCAGTTACATTTAGAAGAGTTATTAAATGTGGTGGAGGAGGTAATCTTACAAATTGACGTAATTTCCATGACCATTCGATTAAGGAATCTGGTACCCTAGTATTATGTATAGTTAGCACTCTGGCAAATTCTTCTTGTAATTCCTAGGATCATATTCGAAATTAAATACAGAACTATTCAACAGCAAAATCAAGAGAAACATTAAACGTACTGCTTCTGTTAACTGCAATTGATCACTTGGTCTCAACAAAACCTTTCCTCGCATCCAATCTATATCACCAGCACCTAAATCTTGTCGCGATATGTAATTCTTCGCTAAAGATAAATGCTGTAAAATTTTGATTTTTTAAATTTTCTTTAATATAACAAGTTACTTTTTTTTACTTATTATTATTATGTTATAACAATAAATATGTACCTCTTTATTTGTGTCTGATACTTTTGAGAGCATCTTTTTAGGTATTGTCGGTGCCATTGTTTCCTTTCTATTTAAAAATATATCAAAACAATTGCAACAATCTCTGGCAATTGATCAGTTGAAACTGGATTACCTTTCGCTTCGTATTTTGTTATAAATATGAATATTGCATTCAATTGTATGTAGTTCTCTCTTTAATATACAGTGACTTACTATTAATGATGGGGAGACAAATTCTATCCTGCCAAGCTCTGTTGACAAATTCTATCCTGCCAAGCACTTCTGCTTATTCTTATCAAAGTAGTATATTTTTAAATCAAGAATATTATTTTTTAATGATTGTAATGATTTTAATGATTTGTAATACGATTATGATAAAATATATAAAGACATAATAGATAAAAATCCTAAACACCCTTTCCTCATATATCATTCAACACTGAGAAGTTTGTTACAGTTTCCTAGG